AGATAAATCTGCGAATGCGAAACAAGCTCACGAATATTACACAAAAAATTATAATGATAATAATGACGCGTCTGCCAAGCGACTATATTATGGCCACAAACCATTCACCTCGCATTTTTTATTATTATATAGCAACCACTCACATCACAGATTCAATATACTGAAGAACAAACACAATACTCAAGCCTGCAATAACGTAATTCGCTTTCAGGCGGGTATGTAATATGCAATATGTAAATAATAATGATGATGCCTTGCCCCGCGGTGGTCACGTTAATAGACATCAATCGTTTCACTAGGCAGTGCACTCAGATTGCCATTACCTGCATGGCTAGACGATGCACGTCTTTGCCAATAACGAATCTAATTCAAAATAATATGGTTATCCGAATATGTCCATATACGTGCGTGCGTGGCGTGCATGGCGGTGCGTTCGCCCGTACCTGTTTGCTGTGTGAATGGCGTGGCGCCGCTGCGCTGCGCGTGGTGTTGTGTGTGTGGTCTTGTGGCGTGTACGTATCGCGCGTGCCGTGCTGTGCGTATTGTGCCGTGTGGGGCAGCGGGGACGTCGAAACCACGACTGCAGCTCCTATAAAGCTTTGTAAAACAACTTGCGATAGGCATTACATGACGGCTGTGTCGCCATGATTGCGGCGTGATTCCCGTACTTTGGTGAGGCGCCTGCTGTCTTCATCGCTTGAGCTTCTCGGCACCGCGATCGTGCGATCTTGACATAATATTGTGGCTGCTGCTGTTGCTCCAGAAACGTACATACACATCAGAGACACTAAACGAATACGCGCGCGGCGCTTTCACATATTCACAACACGCACGCACGCACACACACACACGCGCCGGCACACACATCACACACACACATGCCACACACACATACACATCAACACACACACACAACACACACACCACACAACACACACACGCAGCACACACACCACCACATCACCAAACACACACACACATATATAGTATATTGATAATACTAATATATATTATATACTATATATATACGCGCCATGCCACCACATACACATAACTAAAAGAGGCACTCCCTACAACTGGCCGGCTGGTATATATATATATATATATATATATATATATATGTATATATATATATAATACACCCGACGAAGCGTTCGGCTGCAAGGCTTCTATTTACCGTTATTATATGTGCAAACCTCTCACATGCGAAACTACCATTCACGAGAACACGACGTGATGTCTGCTTTTGAGTCACGACGTTATTAGAATTAGGTACTGACTTAATCCAGGGAAAACTACGAAATCTAATTAATAACGCACGGTACATCCTTCAGCGTAATATAGCGTAAAGTAATTAAATATAATAAGCCTCGTAAAGCTCTCGGTACCTTCAAGCATAATAGAGAATTCCCATTGGTCAGAATTCCGACCCTACTTAGTTCATGTAAATGCACGTTGCCGAAATCTGTATTACAGAGTATTACGCATATCACCGACGTATATATGCGGAGTACATGAATAAAGATCTCTATACCATCTGTGGTCTCTATCATCTCTATTCATATATACTCCTGATATATGCAGTGCTTACAGTGCAGGCCCCCCTGATTATTTCTCCACACCACGCTAATAAAATTATGTTGCGGTTTGCTGCTAAGATGAGATGTTAATGACAGAGCTCTATTTTTAATTCACGAAGCAGCAGTATTTTATTACCAGATTTAACAAAAACGCTTATATCAGCTTCAGCACGGCTAATACTGCAGATTTTACTTCTGCCAGAGGGCAAATGTGCCTCAGTGAAATGTACCTCAGCAAAATGTGCCTCAGTAAAATGTACCTCAGCAAAATGTGCCTCAAGGCCACCTGTTCATTTTGGGGATGACAGGTAGTTAGCGAAAAAAATCATCCTGGAGTTGGCCATTTTTTTACTCCGTCATTAGGAAGGTAATGTAATAATAGAACGACGCGCGGATTAAACTGCTGCGTACACTCAACGTCATAATCTCATGTTTCGCCTTGTTTCCTAATGTGTTATAAAAGTATCGCAACCGTTGTCATATTATCAGGAGTGAATAACAATAGATTATTATTCACTCATGACATTAACACCCGACGCACAAAAGCTATCAGATTTTGTACAAGGCGCTTTCGCCACTAGTTGACATCAGTTAAAGGTCGTGATCGTTCTTTGAAACTCGCGACTAGGCGAGCGGACCATACTCACGCACTAAATTCGACGCCATCGACAATACCACGCAGATGTCGAGAGATGCTCTCTCTCTCATAGAAAATTTTTCTCGTGCATATTGATGAAGACTAAAACGTATTGCTAATGGTATACACAGCTCCCCCCCCCCGTCCGCGAAGTTGAAGACTAATTACATGTATGACACTGTTTATGTGCTCACCATCTTCACTAGGCCGGCGACGTGAGTGCAGGTAAAAATGGGGTGATACTCCATTAGGAGTGTTCCCAACTTTAATGTCATTAATGGTCATAATTAGTTTGTGGTTTAATGTCATTTAGGTTAGGGTTAGGGTTAGGGTTAGGGTTAGGGTTAGGATTATAAAACATTAATAATTAATCATTAATCATTAATCATTAGTGATATCAAAGTTGGGAACACTCCTAATGGAGCGTTAGCCTACAAAATGTCACCTTGGCCGTGCTGTACGCGCAAGAAGCCATTCGACACCGCTCCTGCACTGTCAGCGCATTAGCTTATAAACACATTAGTGAACATAGATTGGATTACGTTTAGGGGGTGGGTGAGGTAGGGTTGAGGGGGTGGGTGAGGTAGGGTTGAGGTGGTGGGTGAGGTAGCGTTGAGGGGTGGATGAGGTAGGGTTGAGGGGTGGGTGAGGTAGGATTGAGGGATGGGTGAGGTAGGGTTGAAGACGTGGGTGAGGTAAGTTCGAAGGGGTGGGTGCAATCTGTTTGAGTGGATAGGTAAGATACGTTTTAAGTGTAGTTATGTTAAGTTGTTAAGCCTATTTGTGTCGCACAATGTAACGTGCAGAATGTGACCAATGTGATGGATGCCGTAGGTTAAGCGGTCCTGGTTACATTATTGTATCTAGGGTTAAAGGTTGAGTTGCTATACGTGAAGAAGATGAGTTTGCTTAGTTAAGGGGAAGTGGTTGCGTTGTGTTATAGACTGTGCTTAGGCTCCGATATAATGCGACTGTGGTGGATGTCGTCATTAAAATAATGATGAATTTAATTTTAAACCACGGTGGATTTTAGGCCATTGAGATAGTGATAGATGTGCACATGCTGCATGCGGGGGGTAAAGGAGCAGAAGCATCGCCGCGTCATTTTGCATTGTGACGTCAACAAAGACAGCCCCCCGCTCGTTTGATCGTCAGAGAAGCGTTCATTGTGACGTCAACAAAGACTGCCCCTCGCTCGTTTGATCGTCAGAGAAGCGTTCATTGTGACATCAACAAAGACTGCCCCTCGCTCGTTTGATCGTCAGAGAAGCGTTCATTGTGACGTCAACAAAGACTGCCCCCCGCTCGTTTGATCGTCAGAAACGCGTTTATTGTGACGTCAACAAAGACTGCCCCCCATCTCGTTTACATGCGTCTAAACAGAGGAATTGCTCCGACCTGTGATTGGAGGATAAAAATAGACCCCGCCCACTCCCGCCGCATATGCTATGCTATGACGGGTAGGAACGCGTACTAACTATCATATGGAGCGAACGATTTGAGTTATAATTCTATAAATTCTAGCTATTATAGACACATATCTTAGTCTTAATCTCTGTGAATTTTGAGTCTATTGAAGCGCGATTAGTCTAATTAATTAGCAAATATGCTCGCGCGGCTATGAGGAAGAGGAGGAGAAAGAGGAGGAGAAGGAGGAGGAGGAGAAAAAGGAGAACGAGGAGAACAAGGCGAAAGAAGAGGAGGAAGGGGAGGAGTAGGAGGAGGAAGGAGGAGGAGTAGGAGGAGTAGGAGGAGGAGGAGGAGGAGGAGGAGGAAGAGGAGCAGGAGGACGAGGAGGAGGAAAGTGCTACTAATCTACCCAACGCTTACAATGATTAATTAAGCAATGCCTTTCCGGGCTGTGTACGACCAGACCGGATCGCTACTTCCCAGCCTTTATCGAGCTACTCGTACAGATCGCATGCAATCATTGTCGCATTATAATTCTCGAGCAGTTTTATATGGTGTTCCAAAATTGCCACCACCACCAGCAGCAGCAGCATATTATTTTATCACATATAACATTCACGGATCGAATGCTTCGATCCGTGAATCCAAGCATTCGATCCGTGAATCCAAGCATTCGATCCGTGAATCCAAGCATTCGATCCGTGAATGTTATATGTGATAAAATCAACCATAAAACAAAAAATCGAATTATGAAACAAAAAACATGCCATACTCCGCACACGCTGTTCAATCTTCCACACGTGGAAGAAAATATCAAACACGTGTGATATTTTCCACACGACGCAGATTTTGCATCCGCACACGCTTTGGAACTTACTGCGCCATCGTCCACGTGTGGACGATGGCGCAGCAAGTTCCACAGCCTGTGCGGGGGGCTTACTATATTCGTGATCAAATTTGCACGTTGCAATTGTTCATGATGTCGCTCGGCATGCCTCTACTCGTCCGGTTCATATCACAGCGTGAGCTCAGCAATATAGGAGAGGGTGGACAATACCTTATTACTTATTCTGAATGAATAATTCTGAAAAAATTCCAGAAACGTTCCTAATTACACGGGACTAGGTCTTCAGGCACCGCAGGGGCTACGCGGATAGAGCGAACACCATAATATAGGTGAGGGTGGACATCCGGGAGGAAAACGTAGTAACGAGTAACGCGCTGCTCAATGCACGCAGCGTATATATATATATATATATTGTAACGGCCTCGGCCTCTGCTCTGCCGAGCCCTGCGCGCAGTTCGCTCGCCGAACTTTTCACCCATTCAAACGAAATAACCATACAACAGAGATTAGAGAAAAAAAACGACCGTTTAAAGTTTCAACTGTTTATTTGTGCCTTTAGTTTGTTCACAGGCTTCAACAACAACCAGTTACTGAGCGTGACGTCACACTGCTCGTCTACCCCTCGCGTTAATCTTCATCGACTCTTCGCGCTCGTGAAATGACCACGGCTAGCTAGGTAGAGATTTTGTTGTACTAAAATACTTTTCACGGTCAAATGTAGAGCGCGGCGTCGTCCGTCACTCAGCCGACAACATTTACGGACGCGTGCAGTGCAACCTGTTGCGACAGCTCTTCGGTTTAAAAATACACGAGCGCTTCACGCGATTTAGTCCAGACACCAGTGATATATTTTCACAGACGACATTCGCCACCGAAAATCTCCTTGTATTACCTCGGATTTCATCGGGTAGGCCACACAATGCTGAACATAAATACTGTCGTTCGAGCCGACAACTTGTTCGCTAAGTGCCGATAACAAGAATAACACCAAATCACATACACCTGTTGAAAACACGCAATTGTGCTTGATACTTAAATCAGATCGAGGCAATTGTGGAATGGAGCGTGGGCACACACACACACACACACACACGACCGTCGGCAGCATGCACCACAGCTCTTTGCTTCTCAATGAAGCCAGACGCGTCCCGGCCCCCAGCATTAGGCGCAGTATGTTTTCACACACACACGCACACTTCACAGTGGAATCGTACCGGCTAAAACTCGGTAAAAAGCCCCTAGCCGCGATACAACCGACCGGACGCCTAGGCAATCGATAAGAAGTGCAATGTCACCCGGCACGAGGTAGCCGCTGCTACTGCTGCTGATGCTGCCGCCGCGCCATCTGGTGAGTAAAATAGATACCAACGCGACAGTATGACCTTCAGCCACACTCTCTCTCTCTCGCAACTAAACGCTCTTGCACGGCACTGTGCGTGGGGTACGTGCAGTGCACTCTTTTAGATTTCCTGAAAGTAATGGTGCGATACATTACTCACTCACTGCTGCACAGCACTACTGCTACTGCTGCTGCTGCTGCTGCAAACACCCTTAACCAGCTCCACCTCTCCCACTCCTCCTACGCTCCCGCCACACCGCCCGTCACTTGTAGAAGGGACTCCTCCCAACTAGTGGCGGCGGCGGCGGCTTCGTGCGGCGGCTCCTGCTTTCGCGACATGACAACCACGACGAGGCGAGATGGCAACCTCCTCCTTAGGGTCCCGGAAGCCTTCGTCGCGAAAGCCGGCCCGCCGCACACGCCCCGACTCTCAGCTGGACAGACCGCTATCACAAATGTATACAGATCAAAGGGGAATGTCACTTCCAAACTTCTTTCGGCGTTGCATACAAAATGAATTCAGTAAAAAACAAACACCTGCCCAGCCCGCCTATCACCCGGGTTGCGCGCGTCGCAGCGCGCCAATCCGTCTTACAGAGCCACCTGGTGGCTCCTAACGACATGTCCGTGATGGAAACACTCCGCTGTACATACAAATTCTTCTCCCACAAAAATAAAACATCTTATACCACATTATGGTACTTGTTCCATCGCATCCGGCTGGACCCGAACAAAACTTACTCAACAGAATGGTCACAAACTTCTTGGCTCTTTATTTGACAATTATTTTCCTCGGATATATTACGGTTGGGGCTCCACATAGTTTATCCACAGACCAACATCATCAAAACTGACTTACGTGACTTAACTGTTACTTAATTATACATCCTTTTTGTTGACCCTTACAGTAGGACGGGTTCCACTTCTGGACGGTGGCTCCCTCTGCATATCTCCCATTTGGACATCAGCAGAGATATTACCCTGGGAATTAGATACTCCCTCAGCTTCCTATATGTCCCGTTTCGATATCTTCCCATCACTTCATTGTAATGAAGGATTGCTTGTTGTGGGGACCATCAGTATATTTACCCGCAGATTCACTTATTTATAAGAGGAAGCACTCTAAAGCTTGCCCTAATGCCGGCGCAATGATTTAGCAAGACGTCAAGAGTTGATGAAGCTAAATTCATCGCTCGCTCCACGCACGAGTGCGTGGGCGGGTCGACATTGTGGCATGCCCGCCACAGAATGGCTGTACAACTCTCTCACTCACCTCTATCGCTCTCTCTCGCTCTCTCTCACTCACCTCTATCGCTCTCTCTCACTCACCTCTATCACTCTCTCTCACTCACCTCTATCGCTCTCTCTCACTCACCTCTATCTCTCTCTCGCTCTCTCTCTCTCTCTCACACACTCTTCCTCCCCTTGTCTCTCACTCCACCTTTCTTTGACACACACACATACAAACACACACACACACTTGCACGCATGCATACATGCACACACACATAATCAAATCTCCTACACATACCACCAACCGTTCATAGCCCCCCGAACAAGAACCAATACACAGGGTAAATTTTCACAGAATTTTTGTGTCCGACAGAAAACCAGTGCACCTGCTGTGCTGCCCTCCAGTGTAGACGTGAGTGATGAACGAAATGTAACGACACTACTCCGCATAGGTCGATGTGAACCCAGTCCCCGCCAAGTAACCATGCCCAGGGGGACGAGGCAAAAATGACAAAATGAAAGACTCTCTCACGCTTTTTCAGCGTGGCCTTGTACCGCGTCGAAATTCTTAAGTCACTTTAGGTTAGATACAACGGTCGTCAAAATCTCGATTTTAAAAACAAAAAAGAAAACATCACAAATGACGACGACGCCCATGAAATGCAAAAGTAAATGGCTATGTGAGATTTCCCGACGGCACCCGGACAATATGGAAGCGATATGCGATATTTACAGAATGATGAGACCCATGCTGATTATGATGAGGAGGGCCAATTCTTAGTATCGGCAACAGTATACAGGCACATCGGGCGCACTGGCTTTCTGGCGAACCTTTGGTCACTACATTTGTTGCTATATACAGTATTGTACAAGAATACGATGGCTGCGGCAAACGCATTGCACCGGTGGCGTTGACACCCGGCCACCCGAATCGAAACTCGTTGTAACTGAAATTCTTGTTGCCAGCAGCGCAATGTATTCGGCGAGAAAATGGTAGTCCACATTGGTACGTCACAGGTACCGACACCGGTAAGAGGAAAAATCTGCCCCCCACCCACCCACCCACCACCACCCACCTGCCGGCGCCTCTGGGATACAATCGCCAGGAGGCGGTGACGCGCAAAAAAAACCTGTCGGAACTACCGGTAACGAGGACCGACTCTCGTGCGGCTCCGCGCACGTGCTCATGGCGCCGTCGCCGACGGCGACGCGTCGCAAGGCGCTCCCCTCGCGTTGAAGCAGGGCACCTTGGCTTCGTTCGTCTCGGCGACTCATCCCTGCGAGGCGCTGACGATCGGCACGCGTAGGGTCAGCTCGGCGGAGGCGGTCCTCGGCAGCGCGAGGGCGCTACCGTGCGCGGCCTGCCTGACGCGCAGACGGCAGCGCAGTCCGGACGACTCGCTCGGCGATCGCGACAGCCCCGGGTACTCCACTCTAGGGTTCCCTGCAAGGCAATGCGACAGCACACGTTACACACGGTAGGGTTAGGGTTGGGGTTAGGGTTAGGGTTAAGGGTTAGGATTGGGGTTGGGGTTAGGGTTAAGAGTTAGGGTTGGGGTTAGGGTTAAGGGTTAGGGTTGGAGTTAGGGTTAAGGGTTACGGTTGGGGAAGGTCTTAAACGGAAGCGCGCGGCAATGTTTCCTGGGTTCCCAGGCTCCGACGCAGCAACGCCGACTGCATACATTCAATCGACCAACTCTCGTAATGCGGAAAAACAAACGCCACCGTCGGTAAACGAAACAAAGATTTCAACTAGAAGTGGACAACAGCTCGACAACATTCAGACAGGCAGAACGACCGGAGAAATCGTGCGTGACTACTGTGTCTGCACTTTTCGCAGTCCTCACAAAGCCCCATGACACACAGCCAGCGGCGATTTTAGAAGAACTGCGGTAGGCAAAACAATCAGATGACTATCGGATAGCAGTTCAAATATCGACGACAACGCTCACGCAGGAATCGAGTCATCGACGTGAGGAACTCTCCAAACAATCTCTCCGAAGCCTGGACGGCAGAGATGAAGCATGGAAGCATACGCACAGACGCGGACACGTATACCACGCGCCGCTGGGGTTGCATTCGTCACACGTACGTACATGCAGCTAGCACATCAGCTAGGGCCTGTTTGCACCGGGGGTTGGGACGGGCACGCCACCATTGGGAGGTACGTCGCTCGCACGAGCGAGAACAAACGACGCGCCGACGATCACCGACTGGGTTTCCGCACGACCTCGGGCGCGCCGTACCCCGGTGTGAGCAGGCTCTAGGGGTGTGGCATGCCGGCTAACCGGCCACGCCCACGTACCGGACTGCTGCGACTCAGCCTGCCTGCGCTGGATCATCGGTAGGAGACGCTCGACGGCCATGGCACTCAGCGCAAAAGTCGACAGTAGGTCTTTGGCACAATCATTCCTGCAAGTGCACACGCAGTCAGTTCTCTGCGTCGACATCAAGCCCCGATGGGGGTAGACCAAAAACTACGACCACACCAAACGTCCCGGCGAGAGCAGCACGGGCGCGCGCGGAAACGGCGGCGCCACTTACCTCAATAGCACGCGCGGCGTCTCCAGTGTCGTGGGGGCGCCACCGTTGCACACCCACGGGTGGTCGAGAACGTCGTCGGCGTTGAAGCGCATCTTCGCATCTTTCACCAGCAGGTGGCAGATGAGATCTTTCGCGGAGTCGGAGATGGTGCCCCACTCTCTCTCGGGAAAGTCGTAGACGCCTTCCTGGATGCTCGTGAAGAGCATCTCCTGTGAACAGCGACATTACGAGCGCTCGTCACTACAAGGTCCAGCATACCGCCATCTTAGTTAGCTTCATCTAAACTCCTCGACTAACCCTACACCATTCGCAGTTTCTTGAACTCACTTGCGCTCTCCAATCCTGCCCGTCAGAGATCATTGGGAGGCGACTCTTACTCGAATATACTAAAACGGGGTTTTAATGCGGGC